TTTGAAGTTTGGGAGCCTGCATTATTTCACTCACTCTGTTCTAAAATATAGACAGCTAAACTATAGTATATAATGCCAAGGCAATACAAGGGTATGTGGGGCTTTTCCTAATCAAAAGAGCACGGCTAAACTCTAAGATATTTATAAATTCAAATAAATCTGTTGTATCGAGTGACAAATCTCATGCTTAAAAATTAAAAGATGGTCAAAACAATTCTATCATCTGTGTAATGTAATAGAAACAGACACAGCCTCGTAAAGCAACAAAGAACTGGTTGATATGGAGAAATGTGGTAGTAAATTAAAATGCAATGTATTTTATAAGGTTAGGGACAATTCATACATTATAGATCCAAACATTATTTTATGATCCCTCTTCATTTTTGAGACTCGCTTCTTTTTGCAAGACATTGTATCAGTGATTAATGAAATAAAATCCCTTACAAATGCAATCTGAACTGAAGAAAAGGCATGCAAGATTCTTTGGTAGATGAAATGTTTAAGTTGGTTTATTTAATCTGAATTCTTATTTTCAGCAATCAAATTGGAATTCATGTTATAGCAAGAGCTTTATCAGTATTTCCATTTTAAATCTGAAGGGTGTATCATTTGGCCTTAACAATTCATCCTTCCCTGAAATTTGATGCATATTGTTTCAGAGTAAGATTGTGTTTTGCTTTAATTTCTATACAATGGCTTTATCTGCTTTCAAATATACATTGATATATGCATTAAAAGAATCCTAAATTAATATACATAGTGCCATGCTAACAGCTTAAGATTCTTTTTAGGGCTCTTATTTGTTAGAATGTGTTTCATTCTGAAGCATGTGCTATTCGGCAAGTGATTAATCCATTACAGAATCTAATTGGCTTTGTTACTTGAGAAAATATTAAACTATGATGTTAAGAAGCTTTTAAAATAGGCCATTGCATGTAATCAGTATTTTTTAATGGAATCTAGTTAGGATTTTTATCATATACATACCTATTTACATGGCTTCTATTTGGTATATGATGTGTTTTAAAAAAAAAAAGCTGAATGCATAGCAGCACAGTAGGTTGTAATATTTCTAAAACTGTCATTCACATCTACTCAGTAAATCACATTGGCCAGTTTGTGCTCAGTTACTGCAGAGTAACTATGGGATTTGCACCTGCAGAACTTAGACCAGAAATGGGACTCGCTTTTACATTTATATTTGTATACATAGAATATGAATCCTGCTGTTTCTAAAGCTGATTAATGAAACTGTCAAAGTTCCTACTAATTGCAATGAAAGAACACTTGAAACTATACTTTCCTTCAGATATTTAGCCGACAGACCTCCTGAAAACACAGTTCTGGGAACACTCTCCTGGAGTGGTTTAACTGCTATAGACCCAGATGGATTGTTCACAGCTAAAGTATTCAAGGATCTGGACCAAGCTTATTGTTCAAAATTACTTCACAGCTCTGAACGTATAAGAATGCTGTTTGTTACTATGCTGTTATGCATAGTGGACCTGAAGAGCTACCAAGTGAATAAAATAACAGTATGAGGAGCATGGCCCAGGGAGAGGCTCTGGTTTTCATTCCTAAGATTTTAACTCTTCACTTGTCTCTACCACTATCTACACATGTCTATGGCTTATTTTTTGGTTTTGGTTTTGTTTTCACATCTTTCATAACCTTTTTATTTTTTAGGACCTGATACTGCAAAGATACGTGCATTTCTTTAACTACTGTGAGTAGTTTAGTTGGCCTCGGGTGCCCGGAAACATAAACAACAGGTACTGAAGTCCTATCTGTGTAAACTCTAACATCTAGGCACTGCCTCATGCTGTGCATCATAGACAGTGCTGGAAGGTCCATGATAGCTTCAGGTTTCTAGGTAATACTAAAATACAAAAAAAACCCCAAGAGATATGAGTCTGCTCTGGAGAAGGTAGGCACACCACCTAATTTTGGACACTTATGCTCAGTGCCCAAACTGGGATGCTAATCTTTCTGAACTTTCTATGCAGTCACTGGAGAGAGGTGCTTTCGCTGACTTAGTTTGAGAGATCCTAGCATCCCGCCCTAAAGTGCCCCACAGAGAAGCCTGTCCATCCTGGCTGTTTATTAGTATGCCCAACTAACAAGCTAAAGTTAAGCTCTAAACTCAAGAGCTGAGAGCAAAGTACCAACTAAGTCACCCAAGGTTTCACTTCAAACTAAGATTTGACACAAAGAAAAAATCAAAAGGATGGAAATGATACAACAAGTCGTTACCACTGTACTCTAACTAGTATCAATCTTGTGTTTTCTTACACCTCAAAGGAAACACCAATGACATCTGAGGCCTGCTTGTTTCCCTAGCTAACCCTAACACTGCAGCTCTTTCATAATTAAGAATACAATTGGGGTACAAAACATAAGATAAAACTCTACTTTGACTTCTACCTGATATTTTATCAGCAGAACATTTCATCCCCTGAATCTGTCTGAAAATTTGAAAGGATCTGTTCATTTCAGTTCAAGTTTAATGCAGTATCTGAACATGGTTTTCACTGTCACATTGGTATTACAAGGATAAAATTACAATGAAAAAAACCCTGAAATTCCAGAGACTTCAAGATGTTATAGAAGAAATAGAATTCTGGAGAGCTCTGACTACATCTAGTGGAAGCAAATACAATTCATTCCTAATAATGAGCTGGTCTGGTATTGTGAATGGAAAGGTCTTAACCTCATTAAAATGTTCTGTAGCTCTAAACAGACTTGAGTTAGGCATCAGCTGAGATATGCAATTCCCTGAACACATCAAATTTTTAAGACAGTCTGATTTCCTTGGAAGAAATGTTTGAGGGTCAAACCCAAATAGCAAATTAGAAAAAAGAAAATTATGCATTCCTTCAGATTCTTTCAAAAACATAAATTTACTAGGTGTTGGTTGGACTAGATAAAAAAATTACTGCTCTTTTAGAAAACAGATATGTACATTGTAAATCTCAAAAAAGCATTTTGTTTTTTTACACTAAATAAGATATATATTGGTTAAATATATTTTGATTAGTGGATTGGCAATCAGAGTGACAAAAAACCACAAAAACCTCACAAATTCTTTAGCCAGTAGAAAAAAAAGGAATTTTTGATGTATTTCCAATTTTTATTCTTTGCGCATCCGCCCAAAATTTCATTTAATTAACAGCTCTGAGATTCAGTCTGTTTGTGTACTGACACACCAGAATCATGTCAAGAAAGCAAAATATGGAGCTAACGTCTCAAAACTGCACGTAATCTTTCCAAACCTCACATCTATTCCTTCCCTCTCCCCCAAAAGGGTGATTTTACACAAACACAGACACATAGATCAAAGTTAGAGCAATTCAGAAGAAAAGTCAGATTTTTTTTTAAGCTAAAGAGTTTCTTTCTGTATGTGTCAAGAGTTTTGTTTTTGAAATCTGCATGCAAATCCCATGAAGTGTAAAGTAATGATGTACCTAGTTACAATCTTGTAACTAGAAAGGACATTATAATCACATCATTTAACTGTTGACTGCTCGTGAAATTTCTGAGGGAAAAGAAGGATTTGGTGCCATTCATTAATTACTGATGAGGCTTGTATTTACATGAAGAAAACGGACAAAAGAAAACCATGGTTTGAAATGAGAAGTCATAAGTGAATTTAAGAATTATTTAAGAAGAATTATTTTTGTTACTTTTCCTAAATCAGTGTTCCCATTTAACCAAATCCTTTAAATAAGCGCAAAAATGTTACCACTTTTATGAGTGAAAAAAAGATTAGTAAAAGAAATTTGAATATAATTATTTTATGGTTTACATTGTTTAAATGTAATTCAAAAGAATTTTAGTATCAAGTATATCACTTTTCCTGTTCTAATTTTGAAAGTATTTTCTGCACTTATCCCTAATCTTCATTCACTGTTAAGAAAAAAGGCACATGAGTGGCCTGAGTGGCACTGAGTGGCCTGACATGTCACTGTTTGATATCTTTTCCTGTCTCAAATAAATGCCTTAACCACAAACGTATAATTTCAATTTAATTCATAAAAACCATATGCCCTCACTACAAAGCAGTTATCAGATTTGACGTGAAATATGTGTTCGTATGAACACAAGTGCTTTAAAACATCAAAAAGTCAAGAATGAAAAAAATCTTAACAGTTTCAGGAGAATTTAACACTGGTTTGAACACCTCCCTCTATTCAGAAGAGAGATGGCCAAAACATCTGCCATTTTATCCCCTACAATGGGCTGCTGTATAAAGTAAGTTAAATGAAATGCACAGCACATGAGAAAATTTCATGTATCCTAGAGCTGTTAAATTTTCAAAATATTGCACAAGAATTTCATGGACAAATGATTCAGGAAAGGAATCCTGTTTACACAGATATCGCACACTATTGAACATTGACACTGCAGACACAGAAATGTAAAGACAGCTCTAAATTAATTCAAAGCACATGTAGTATGTGTAACATATGCTGCTTTGATATATTGTTAATGATAAATAGCTAAAAACAATTTCTTAAAGGAGATGTCTCCACATATCATTCTTTAGAAACTGAAGTAAAGGTATTTATAACTATAATGTAACATTTGAACCCTGAAGTCTTATTATCGCTGATTTGTCTTAGGCTTTGACCTTTGAATCTAACCTGATCATTGAACTTAAAATGTTCAGAAGCTCGTTTTCATTCAGTTATAAAATACATTAAATAACAGAAGTCACACTGGGATCAACATGTCAGTAGGGCCAAATTTTAATTTGCAACATATGAGCAAGAGAACTGTATACAAAAATTGAGAGAAGATTGACAATGAGAACAAGTTTTCTCAGCAAAAATGTCAGTAAGATTTTGTGTGACATTCAGAAAGAAAAAAAAAAAGTGAATCTGAATGGCTTTGAGAATGTCTAATTGCTAATTCTTATCATTGTTTGGTTTATCAAGGTCACGCCAGCTAACTTGTTTACTAAATCTCTTCACTAAATTATGAAAAATTACAGATATTACCTTCTGTGCCTTGCATATTTGCCACTAACATGACCACTGCCATCACAGCCAGGCGTGGGACAGCTGCAAAAGAGAGAGAATTAATTATATAGGTGCTGGTGTGCTGCAGAAAGATTATACTAAAAGCAGGCAGTAGGTATTACAGAGATGGAGGGCAACAAAGACAGAAAGAGAAATCAAATAACTGAAGGGAAAAAAAAAAAGAGGGGATGCTTTTTATTAGCAAGTCTTGAGGGAATTAATTTCATCAGTGCAGCAGGGCATGAGCAAACCACCAATGAACTTGAAAGTGCATTATACCCATTAAAAGGCATGAATTTTCTAAATTGCTAATGGGGATACATTTTACACTCAGAGCACTAACCTGAACAGCTCTTGTATGGCTGGTTCCACGGGAACTGCAGAGAGATGGAAAATATATAAAAATTTATCATCTATTACAAGTACCCCTCTTCTACAGAAAATTACCAGAAAGGTTGTGTAAAAGCAAGGGTCAGAATGAATCGTGCAAAGAGATTCTGGAGGATGAAGGTCACCCTGAGCGGGGGCCTTGAGTGATTTACTGAAGCAAGAGACGTACCTCGAACACCTTTGGAGCGTGTGCGATGGCGCTTCTCGTCTGCATCCACCTCCATCTGGGAATAGATTAGCAGGCAGTCAATGTTCTTATCCTGCATGCACAGACTACCAATGCACAGACTGATACAGTCTCTCACACAATTTATTGACACTATTTTAATTCCATTTTATCCTGTAAGGGAAAGTCCACCTTACAGGGGATTTTTAGGATCTTTATTTAAAAACAGAAAATGCCGTAATTTCCGCTTTAATCAGTCAGTTTGCATGCCCTGCTTTCACAGTAAATTGTGTGCAACTAAGTGCTGGTTCCTTTTTTCAAAGGGATTTTTCTGACATATAATCCTGATTACTCCCATATATTTTGAAACAGGGATTCAATAGATTTCTACACAATTTAAAACTAAAGTCAAGGGGTCGCACACCATAGGTCGCTTTCTAACCAAACGCTCCGCAGTGGGAAAGAGAGGAAGGAATAATGACTGAAAAGGAGATAAAGAATCATCATTAGAACTTCAAAGATTTCATGTTATTTAATATGGCATTATGACCTTTGCCAAAGTTTCATTGTTTATATGTGTTTTTCAAGCTTCAGGAATGGGCTCACTCGCTACGTATGGCTAAATCTTTACCTTCGTTTTATAAACAGAGTGTCTATCTGATGTAGCTTTCTATGCAGTAGTAAATACACAGCAATCTTAATTATTTACCAGATGGGCAGGGCTGCAGATTAGACCTCAGAAAGTATCATAAATGCTGATCGACAGTAGTTACTATAGGGCCACATGGTTTGTTCTGATCTTCCACGCATTATTGCCACCAGACTTTCAAAGGTAAACTACATTGGCTAGCTTGAGTTTATGATTTTGTACAACACAAGCAGATTGCAATGAACTATGTTGAGAGACTGTGTCAGGGAAAATATATGCATTATCTGTAGCATCAGCTTCTTTGGATTCGGAAGAACAGGGTGGCAAGATGGATCTGCAGTGGTTCATACATAGAGATGATATTGTAAAGGTCAGGAAGGACAGAAATCGACCATGGGGCTCTAGTTCCCCCAGAAAAAAAAATCAATCACTGGTTTATGGCAATATCCTTGGACTGATATCTGGTAAGAATGTCACATATCTCATGCAAAAGCATGGAAACAGGTCTAAGTCACTTGCAGCTAACCCTTTAATCACTTAACTTTCTTTAGTCAGTACCTTAAAACAAATGATGTGGGAAGTAACGAACAAGGAAGGAATCAAGGGGTGTTTTTATAGCACTTCCTCAACTCATTACATCAGGAGGAAAGAGTCAGCACAACAAAATTTGTGGGTGACAGGGATTTGGTGGAAAGAAGGGGCTGCTCTCACAAGGCTCTGTGCTACTGTTGTGGTTCTGCTTCTCGGTAGTCATCGTCTGGTAGTGTGTTTAATTTCACACTAAAGGGATGATCTTCTAAAATAAACAGATACCACGAAAGTTAATATAGCACTAGCCTCTATTAGGGGGCTTCAGTGCAGTCTTCTGATTGGGACCTTTACATCACTTTGAGTGGGTTTCATTTTTAAATTAAGACACCTACATATAGCTGTGTGCACAGCCATTAGTAGCATAAGCTTCCATCATCTTTAACCAGTGGTGCTATCTGAGATACCATAAGGAATCCCATCAAGCCTTCAACTGCCAGACCAGAAAGGTACAGAAGGGTACAGGTAGGTCTTCTGTCTGCCAATCCTGCGTAGATGTTTCAGATATCCTCTGGCATCAGAAACAGCACCAGCACTTGAGGAACAATTCCTCTGATCAGCTACTAGGTGTTACTTCAGGCTGGACAAAATCAGTCTCTAGGCACCTTTGCCCATACTGTCTAGCTCTCCATTTACTATCGCATGAGATACTTGGCATATCTGTAGATACCTACTGCAGGCACCTAAACTGAATCTTAAACTTTAATCCATCAACAGTGTCTATCCTACATCTTGGGTTCACACCCTGGCTGGCTCCTCAGCTGCTAAGATTTGATATGCATTTGAAGCTTTTCCAGTTGCTTCTATATCAAAGCATAGAACAGCATCTCTCGATATAGGAATTGCCCACTAGATGATGATATTCTTTTCACTTTACTAATAAGATAACTGTACATTGTGCTATTCTGTAACTCCTGCACCGTGTAAGGACTTAACAGGAGACCAGAAGTGGAGTTGCTTGATCTTCAGCCTAGTACGTTTGTTAAAAAGTTTGAAAAACATTATCTAGCATCATTTGTCACCACGAAAAATCTGCTGAAAGAACTATGATCTTAACCTGGAAACGCTGCCCTGGTAGTTACGATAGTCTGTGTAAATTTAGAAGGGGCAAACTACAAAACAGATTTGCCTATCTTTCTAAACCAAAGTAGGCACTTCAAGTGAAGAATGCTGTGAGTACACTTTTAACTACACTGACAGTCAAAGAAGAAGTCACTAAGGTGGAAAAGCCCCTGTACGATCCTCACAATCCAGATCCAGAAGCAGGTCAAAGTAGTGAAGAAAGATTTTTAAAACTGCAGGTATGCAATGTTATTTTAAATTTTGTTATGTATCCTACATAGCCTGCTGCTTCTCCAGAAAGGCAGAGATCTATCTGCCTTTGTCTGCGAATTAGATGCCCTGTCATACATGGCAATGTGTGTCTTCAATGCACAAAGACACATCAAATGATGGTACATGCCTATGTTTAGCCAATGGAATCTTGCTTTGACTTTATTTATATGGTCCCTCACAGCTCTTCAAGACTTTGTCTGTCATGTCAAACCTCCAGCCTTCATCCCTCCGTGTATTCAGTGTTTGATGCTAGGAGCAATCAGTTTCCTGAAATTCTACATGAGACGCATATTGGTTCTGTGAAAGGACAGTCAGCTGCCAGCCTACCACAGCAGTCCCCACACACAACCCCGGCATTTCCGTGGCCAGGAACAGAATTCTGCTCCTGAGGCCATTGATCTCACACAAACATGGATTTTCTCACCATTTTCATGTACAGAAAAAGGAAATGTGTACCCTAGCGACTCACAAGAAGTTCACCTCCGTAGTTCTACTTTATTCATGGCCTTTACATTACAGTTCTGCAGAATACTGAATGTGTGGGCATCTAAAAGGAGACACCTAAAAGAATATGTATGAAAGCAAAGAGCAAGGCATCAGGAGCAGGAACAGAAGAAATTCTTAACGTGGCTACAAAGAGAAGCTCTAGACCTGAAAATTGAGAGGTCTATGTTCTTAATTCTGAGAAGAAAAAAAACCCAACTTGGTAGAAATTAAACTTGGTAAGTCATAATTGAAAAGAACCAAATTATTGGATGTACCTTACTTAGGGTAGAGAAAGGTAGAGTTAGCAACTCTGTATCACAGTTATGTGCATTAGTGTTACCGAAGATTTAGAGAAACAAGACCCTAAATCATTATAAATCAGTGCTCTAACTAATAAATCACAAGATGCAGTACAAGAGAAGGTCTGTTATATTGGAAGGTATGTTGAAGACAACCAAACAGGACACGAAACTTGACTTCAGCAAGGCTTTTGACAATGTCTCTCATAACATCCTCGTTAGCAAGCTCAGGAAGTATGGGTTGCATGAGTGGACAGTGAGGTGGGTAGAGAACTGGCTGAATGGCAGAGCCCAGAGGGTTGTGACAAGCAGCACAGGGTCTAGTTGGAGGCCGGTATCCAGTGGTGTGCCCCAGGGGTCAGCGCTTGGTCTGGTCTTATTCAGCATATTCATCAATGACCTGGATGAGGGGACAGAGTGTACCCTCAACAAATCTGCTGACGATACTAAACTGGGAGGAGTGGGTTTATCCCACTCCTTAGGGAGTTAGGACACACCAGAAGACTGCGCTGCCATTCAGCAAGATCTTGACAGACTAGAGAGTTGGGCAAAGAGGAATCATATGAAATTCACCAATCACAAGTGTAGGGTCCTGCACCTAGGGAAGAACAACCCCAGGCACCAGTACAGGTTAGGGCTTGACCCGCTGGGAAGCAGCTCTGCAGAGAAAGACCTGGGAGTCCTGGTGGACAACAAGCTCTTCATGAACCGGCAATGTGCCCTTATGGCCAAGAAGGCCCTCTACTCTGCCCTGGTGAGGCCACATCTGGAGTACTGCGTCCAGTTCTGGGCTTCCCACCTCAAGAAAGACAGGGAACTACGGGAAAG